CTACGACCCTCCTGTTCTCTCGTCACCTTGAGTCGCCAGGATGGCTCGTCTTCGTCGCCGGGGTACTGTAGTGGGGAATTCGCAAGGCACTGACTAGTGGGACCATCTCTCTATAAGTGCGAAGCGCGAGTGTGTGCACGAGCTGTAGACGCTGGACTGCTCGAGCAATTTTGTCCGTACCGGCTGCCTGCCTACTCCCTGGCGTCACTATGAAACTCCCTTGCAATATGCATTTCCCGCGCCATTCGCAGTATGTGGTCTTTCGTTTTATTGTTTTGCATTGTGCGTCAAGTGTCCACCATTTAATTAACATTCTTATCAGTCTCTATCATTTCGTTGTGGTTGGGAAAGGCACTGCAGGAGCAAATAACCAGACAACTGATACCCCAGAAGAGAGGCATGCAAGGTCTAATCGCGTAGGACCAATTTATCCCGTATCGGTGGACACAATAAAGGGCCCCTCATTAGGTTTGAGCATTTCCAGCTGACAAGCCTAGTTGTGCACTGAGCACTTCGGATTATTCCTTTCAAGATTTGCGAAATTACATGTCTCGTAAAAACGCTAAACTTCTAATGAATGCCACTTGCCCTTCTCACGGGCGAGCGCCCCAAAATCAAGGAAGTGACGTACAGCAAGGAATGGTCCTGTCTTTACGTTGCTCCTTTACGTTGACATTGACGGGCTGACGTCACATACTGTACACTCTTCATCAGGACTTCGTTAAATGCTAGCTGTATCTATAAAAACAGGCGAAAAATGTTCCATCTGCTGTTTATATCCTGAATTTTAAATGACTTCATTAAGAGTGTTGCAGGTGACGTTATTCTACTGGGCATGTGTAAAATTTGTGTTCTGTTGTGTAGCATGAATGAGGAGTACTTTGATTTTGGCTATCTGCTTCATATCAATTTGATAGGGGAGCGCAAAGACAGAAGAAAAAAAACAGCACTCTTTGTCTCTGTCTTTCTCCTCTCTGTGTCATTGCACTGCCCTTTCAAAATCAGTATAATGAATGAACGCTCACAAAAATAATAAAACATGCAAACAAAATCTCAGCTTGTTATCATTTTTGTTTTTGTTTTGAATAGCCTCGAGGTGTTATTTACTAATAGGCCCTCGTTTAGCGTCCGCCTCGCTGGACCAGTCGCTAAAGGGTGCTCCGCTGCTGACCCGAATGCCGCAGGTTCGATTGTGGTCCCGGCGGTGACATCTAGAAGGTAGCGAAAAAGTAGATGCCCGTGTACTGTACAATGTCAGTGCACGTAAAAGAACACCAGTTAGTCAAAATTTGTGGAGACCTCCACTACGGCGTTCCTCATATTCATATCGTAGTTTTTGTTTTACGTAAAACCACACATACCACCGCTGCTACTATATACTACTACTACTACTACTACTACTACTACTACTACTACTACTACTACTACTACTACTACTACTACTACTACTACATTTTGCTTGCGTTCGTCTTCTTATCGTTCCTGTATCGTGCCTTCGCCAACCCTGACAACGCTTAGCTTGTGTTTGGTGCGTCGTCTCTGACCGCAGTTTCAGCGGAGTGACGAGGTGTATCGCGGTATCAATATATGATCCTTGCAAGCCTCTCCTAAAGTACACGCACTGACTGATCCATCCCACAGAAACTGGTAATACACAACAAAGAGTGCCGAGTCGACACAACATCGATGGCGTACGCGCACGAGTAGGCTGAGGCACGTCATGCGCGCGGGACCTTGCTTCTCGACATCGGCACAGAGCAGCGCCATGTTGTTCTTGATGCGTATGCGTCATGTGATTCTCCAGCCCCGATACCGAAGAAAACAGGGAAGGAATAAGGCTCACGATGGCTACATGGGATGAGAGGCAAGGAATTCAATCTTGCTTCTTCGCATCATGCTTTAGTGGCATGTAGCGCACCAATTTGAAAAAATCACCATGGTAGAAAGTTTTTTATTGGGCACGCAAGAACTTCTAGTGTCGAAATACAAGTTATTATGTCAGCTAGAGAGAGACGTTTTAGAAGCAAATTACAAACAAAAACAAAAGCCGAGTGAACATCACATTTTTACGTTAAGGCGCTGCAGCTGATGGGTTACAATGCCAAAGAAAACACGCCTTCATTGACACAACACAATTTGTTCTCTTTATAAGCCATTTCATTCTGTAATTAAACCCACAGAAACCGAATTGTTAGAAAAGTTCTACCTTATACGACATTCTGAAATCTTAATTACTATTGCGCGAAGAGGACTGTTTAGGTACAATCATTTCCAAACGTGAGTTTAGCATTAAATCCTTGATATAGGAGCTTTAACCGCAGTTTATTTGTATGCGATAATAGTAAGTCCCATCCTAGTCATTTTTTTGTATTGCTACAGGTGTCATTTTTGAGAAATGGATTAGGGCACACCTTGAGGCGTTGTTCCATAGTTTTTTATGTTTGTCACCTAAAGACATATGACAAGTGATATCACACATAACAAGCATATTCAAGCGAACGGTGAATGCATGCTAAGTACAACGTTGATTGTAAACACGCCGATGCCTATCTCAGGCTTCGCTGTATAAGGTATAATAATTTCGTGGCCTTCGCCACCACTGAATCAACAAGAGAATTCTATTAGTAGTCATTTATGGCTTTTCATTAGTTCTCCAGCTACCCTCAATTGCCCAGAAAACCTGCTCCTCCTTTCTCGCCGACACACCCAGGTTTTCAAGCGGGTTCTTCAGTTCCTTCAGGGCACTGGACAGGCATTTGTAGAAGGTGGTTGCCACCTCCTCAGCCATAGACATCGCTTTTGTTTTCTTACCCCATCTTTATACAGTCTCCTCCTTCCCCTGCAGACGCTGAGACAATCTTTGACTTAGGGCTGCAGAAATAACGTCTTATGCACTCCTCATGCTCCTCCTCCAGTCGCTCGCAGCATGTCAGCTTTGTCTGCGTTGAACCTTCTAGTGTTTGCGAATATTATTGCTGCTTTTTTTTACATAAATAACAGTTTCACAACACGCTCGAAAACAAAATATGAACTTGAATAGCGCTCATATATGCGCTTGCTTGGTAAATATGCATTTATAGGCACTTAGAAGCATTTAGGCACGAACACCCAAAATTGGCATTTACAGGCACTATAAAAAAACACCATAAAAGCCCTTCTTAATTTCTAATTCATGCCAATATATCATAATGGCGTGGTATGAGCACAAGGAACAAAATAGGCATTTGCCAATAATTCGGTCCCTAGTCATGACATTGTCACCCAACAATTTACGTTTTTTGCAAAAAAACAAATATAGAGGGTTAAATGTGCTTGTATACTAATGAAAACTGTACTGTAAGTGTTTATTTCAGTCCAAAATGGGTCGTAGAAGTAATCAGCTGCAAACTCCGCCCACCGCCCGCTTGTGTGATGTCATAAGCCGAAAGAGCAGTGTCGTCATCTGCCACCAAACAGCACCTTCCGCCCGCGGCCAGTGTTGCGAGTGTTCCTTGCCGTGTGGTCCACACGTCTCAGTGGGTTCCAAGTGCTGTGATGTGTTACCGGTACCATAATCATATACGACGACGACGTTGTGTACGTTGCGCATTTTGACTTCGACTACGTCGTCACCAGCTCAAGCGACAAAGCGTCGAAGATGGCGTCAACCAAGATGGCAGTAACCTTGGCGTTGTGGCAGACGTTGCAGATGGCTTTCCGCATTGATAAGTAAGTAGCTTTATTTCAAACGTGTCAGGTCGAAAAGCAAGCTCGTTATACGAGAGTCCGTCAACGCTGCTTTCGCAAACAAGTGCTACTGAGCACCGTGGAATTGGCAAAGCGTGTAGATTTTTGTTGGCTATCATAGGTGCATGCACGACTTTCGGTGTCCAACATAATAAATAGGCGGCTGTAGCAATGCTGCGCAATGGCACCGTTGTTTTTCTATCGGTTATTGCGGGCCGCACTTGTAAACAAAAGCCGAAGCGAACAGCATGCCAGTGCGGCACTAGGGTTCCTCAAGATATTTATTTTGGCCAAATAATTGCTTGAACTCTGTCGACTGCATTCAGTTCCAGTGAAAAAATAGCAAGTGTGACGCTCAACCATGGCACTGCCTGCGACGAGTTGCAACAAATATTTGTCCGTAGTGGCAAATGGAATACGCATTGCATATTCACAGGACAATTTTGACTTCCGAAATTACTTTATCCAAGCACCGGCACTGCATGGGTTCGCGGGGGCATTGCTTCAACCTCTGAAAGTTATTTAGTTCCAGTGGCAAGTTGAACAACGCATACAAAGTTCGATTGCAAGCGCAGCTGATCACGGAACATGTATGGTCGCCCTCCGAAACGCAGACCATGCAGCAGCTTGTCCAGAATGCGGTTCTTTACGTCACGCATTGTTCGTTACGACACGTGCTCCAGTGTTCCCTTTAACAGTCGACCCCTCGGTACATCCTATAAGCTCGAGCTTTACCTACTCCAGTTCAAACATTGTCTGCATGATCGACTGTTTATTTTGTCACAAACGGTACATCTGTGCAGGAGGAAGGCCTGTTATGGCATTTTTAACGGGCACTGCGTGGATACGGCGAAGCAGTCATCAAAAACAGTGGCACGGCATTTTTATGTAGCAAGTCACAACTTCAAAACCTCAAACACTACATCCTTCAGTCAGACTTCCGACCCCCAAGAGACAGCAAATATGCAGAATCCCACTTTATTGACAAGTTTATTGCATTTCAGCTAGCAGGTGTACACGTTTCAAGGGAGACTGTTGAGTCCATGCGATATGATACGTTCACAACAGAAGCCTCTAATTATTACAATTTTTATCTTACCTTTGTTAAGTGATGCTGTCTACCAACAACCATAACTGAGCGATGCGTGTACAACCACCCTTCTCCCAACCTACTAATGTTCACTGCAACCACGAAAAATCTGAACATCTTTCTCAGATTTATTTAACGGGCGAATGTACCACGTTTTTACAAAAGTATACTTACTGCTCAACTGATGTCCAAGGTGAGTCGCAAGCTCTGCGCTCATTGAACGTCAGGCATTTTTCAAACTATGCAGGAAACAAGTACTGCGAGTGCTCGTACGACCTTTAAAATTGGCCCACCGCAGTCAGTTGAGCCGACCGACGCATCTATTGCGGGTCGCGCACCCAGTCGCCAGAAAGCCAAAGAAGACATCACCCTCAAGGAACCAGAAGCTGCTGCACTCACCGACACGGTGCGTCCATGATTGTTGAACCAAGAGAAATATGTGGCTGCTGACAGTAGTTAGCTCTTAGTTATTACTGACCTATTATATTTTCATACGCAAGTTTTTCTATGTAAAACAGCGTGAAGTTTTCCCATCTAAGTCAGATGTAGAAATGCCCAGGAAATATCGGGAGATGCGAAACGTTTTGCGAAAGCGCTAGAATGTCTGGCAACCGTGGGCCAGGCACTATTTTTGTTGTTAACTTGACGTTTCAGCGTTGCCATAGGTTTGCATGTGTTTTAAATGCCAAGCATTTCTTAGCGAACTTCGGCGACATTGAGTTTATCTATCTATCTATCTATCTATCTATCTATCTATCTATCTATCTATCTATCTATCTATCTATCTATCTGTCTGTCTGTCTGTCTGCCTGTCTGTCTGTCTGTCTGTCTGTCTGTCTGTCTGTCTGTCTGTCTGTCTGTCTGTCTGTCTGTCTGTCTGTCTGTCTGTCTAGCCACCTACGACATTTAGCTCTCCCGGCCGTTTCGATAATGGTATAGATACCAAACTTAATATACCATAACATGACTGTATAAAAAACCTATTTGACTAGTCGTAACATGAAAATTAAGACATGTATGTCATGAATGTCATAATTTACATTTCACGTTCCTGGACCTCTTACGGTGGATTCGTTCACATGGCATGTTGCAAGACTGGTATGGTATGGCATGATTGCATGGCGAACACAAGCGACAGACCCTAACATGAAAATCAACATGTGTGTCATGTAACAACATGACAACATCCCTCGCTCATGGTGCGCTGGCGGCCGTTTCACTAGCTTCACTTATACCAAATTTGCTATTACAGGACGTGAATGGATGACGAAGGTATGACACTGGTGAAAACATTATTAACATGAGATGCATGTCATGTAACCACATGACTACATTGTACGCTCATGATGCGCTCACAGCCGTTTCACTAGCGTCAGATATACCAAATTTGGTATTACATGTCGTGAATGGATGACGAAGGTATGTGACTGGTGCAAACATGATAATCAGGAGATGCGTGTCATGTAGCATGTCACAAGCAACTGCAATTTTCGTTTACCCGCGCGCCCCGTCGTCCAAGGAAGGGCACTTTTGTGTTGGGAGGACGACATCTGGCGACTAACGACCCAGCAGCGGCGCTGCCGCGTCTTCCCTACGCCTGTACCGAAAGGAGGGACATGTGTTAGAGGAAAAAGAAATCACCTCGAGAGAGGACGGGACGTCCCGAAAGAGTTTTGACTGCTCTGAAATCGGATTCGGCAGTTGACGTGCAGCCAGCAAGAAGTGCGGTCGTCAATGTTGCGAGTCTCGCGTAGGCGGCGAGCATGAAGTGACCCGCGCAACGTATTGAAACGGCTGTAATTCCGGGCACCCTCGTCGTCTACTAAGCTGGCGAGATCTTCAGCGGCACCCGTCAACTCCCCTACGTGTACCAAGAGTTGGCCTGGTCTGTATGGAACTTTTTATTGTGACTTTTTTCAAACTGTTATTTTATTATAACCAGCTTTTCAATAATAGTAGTTGTGTGCGCTGCGTCGCACGTACCAATTTCGAAGCGCGAGCATGATTCTTACATAAATTTTCTTTCTATTTTCTTTAGTTTCATTCTGTTCTTATTTTATTATTATTCCCCGTATTTGTATCTTGTCGGTACTGGTTGTAGTGTTTATAGAGCATATTTTGCTATATAGCTGTTTTTTTTCATCGCGTATCAGTTTTCTTCCTCTGTTGATTTTGTTAACTCCTGCCTTTGTTCTTCCTTTAATTAATTGCTTGTTTGTGGGAAATCAAATCTCTGTGTCTGCTCTACAAGTGCGTCAGTCAGGCTCATACATCACCACATGTGCAACCCCCCACGAGCCGACCAACCTACAAATAAATTTGAGATGTGCAACTTCGAGGCCTTTCAGGCGTCTCAGGCCAAAGCGTAAAGTGGAAGCCTACGAGTCTGCCGCACGTCGATCGTTGGATCGGCGGTGCCCCACCCGAAGTGTAGGACGTAACAACATGACTACATGCCACACTGATGATGCGCTCGCGGCCGTTTCGCTAGCTTCACATAAGCCAAATTTGGTATTACGTGACGTAAATGGATGACGAAGGTATGTGACTTGTGCAGACATGATAATCATGAGATGCATGTAATATGAGACAATGACTACATGCCACAGTCAAGGTACCAATACATTTTGACGTGACGAGGTGGGCCTGCTCGCCAGCGTTCATTTCGTCGCGTCACGCCGGCGTTCCTACGCCAGGCGCCGGTCCTGCCATATAATCGCAGGCACGTGCCGCGCTGCGTTGCTTTGACGAAGGCGCATTTCAGCGCGTCCGGCGTCTCTTCGTCGTGAAAAGAGGGAGACGCGGTGTTCTCTGGGTAACGCATTCGCGCGAAATGCTGCATGTCGCATTTCGCGCCGGTTGCAGTCGGGCCGTGCCGACAGACGCTGGTCGCGCCTGGCGTCATATAGAGTGCTCGCGTTTTGCTATCATAGCGGCGCGGTGCCCAGCGTGCGCGTTCGTCAACGTTACATTGGAGTTTAATTTGGCCCTTCATAATGCGCTTGCGGCCGTTTTGCTAGCTCCACATATAACAAAATTTGGTTTTACGTGACGTCAATGGATGACGAAATATATGTCTGGTGCAAAAATTATAATCCTGACAAGCGTGTCACGTAAGAACATGACAACATACCAGGCTCATAGCGTGCTCGCGGCAGTTTCGCAAGCTCCGTATATACTAAATTTGGTATCACGTGACGTGAATAGATGAAGCAGGTAAACTAAACATCCAAACATTATAATCAAGACACAGAAGTCATGTACGACATCATTTACCTATACCCCGTAACGTTGTGCTGATTTTAAAGTGACATATCAACATTTCTCATTCGTGCTTCGCATATCATCGATTCCCACTGTTCGTGGGATCTGCCAATTTGTTTGCAGCATGCTGCTGTGTCTTCACGTTGCACTTAGAGTTCGGACGTTCTAATTCAAACGCTCGTGATCCTTGTGCCACATAAAATGGAGCCAATGGCTACGCTTACCAACTGGCGGCCATGTTATATATAAAAACGATTTGTGAGTTCTGCCGCGCGTCAGGTTCAGCTAGATTCTCCACGTTTCTTTCTTGGGGAAGAAATGTCCAGTTTTTGAAACGTTCGCTCCAGCGACATCCCTGTTAAATAATTTCTCAAATCATCAGTGAATCCTTCAGTTACAATTTAGTGACTGTGTAAGAAGCAAAGGGCCACAAAGTTTCCAACGAGTTATATTCATTTCTATGAGCAAGAACGAGTATAGCATTATTTCACATTCTTTAAACTACACGCCAATAGTATAGGATGAACACGCTATGTAGCAGAGTCTACACGCATTTAAACCTTTTATCAAGCACAACGTTTTTCAGCAGCAGATAGGCTCTTATCATGTCAAAGTGGTCTAGCAAGTTTGCACTCATGCCAGACCAGAGAAGTTTGCGGACAACGAGGTTGACTCGTGCACTCATTCAAAATGATTACCTGGTGTTCGAAACATTTAAGGACGAAATGAAAAATACACTAACCAAGAAGCATTGGCATTTAAACCAAGGCCCTCTTATGGTCAGGCCAGTATTCTAACCCCCGCATTCCGAAACACTACTTGACTTGATCTTGACCTGCCACCAACTTTAATGCAGCACAAACACATTTTGAACGCTCTGTCTGTAGGTGGTGCCAAAGCACAAACGAACAGACGCCTTGCAAACTCGCTGCTTTGAAGGCGGTTTCAAGTCAAGTTCAAGTCAAGTAGCGTGTCTTAATACGGGGGTAACTCTAAGCCACACCACTGACTTGAAATCCTTCGCATAATGATTCTTTACCAAGTGTCACGTTAGCAGATGTTTTAATAAAAGAAAAAAATTGGCAGATCCCATGTGCAGTGAGAATCGGTGATATTCGAAGCACGAATGAGAATGTTGATAAATCATTTTAAAATCAGCACAATGTTACGAGGTGGATGTGTTGCCGTACATGACATCCGTTTCATGATTATCATGTTTGAATGTGTCATTTTTTTTTGTCATCTATTCACATCACGTGATACCAAATTTAATATATGTGGAGCTAGCAAAACGACCGTGAGCACGCTATGAGCATGGTATGCTCTCATGTTCTTACATAGCACGCGTGTCAGGATTATCATGTTTGAACCAGTCATATATTTCGTAGTCCATTGACGTCACGTAAAACCAAATTTGTTATATGTGAAGCTAGCAAAATGGCTGCGAGCGCATCATAAAGGACCCAATACACTTCCATGTGGCGTTAACGCGTGCGTTCGCGGGGCACAGCGACGCTACCTCAGCAAAACATGAGTACTCTATAGTCTTACGCCAGGCGCGACCAGCGTCTGCCGGCGTGAAATGCGACATGCTGCATTTCGCGCCAATGCGTTCCCCAGACAACACTGCGTCTCTCTCTTTTCGTGACGGAAGGATGCCGAACGGGCTGAAACGCACGTGAGTCAAAGCAACGGAGCGCGGCGCGCACCTGCGAGTATTTGGAAAAACCGGCGTTTGGCGTCACACCACCAGCGTGACGCGTCGAAATGAGCGTCGGCAAGCACGTGCACTGCGTCACGTCGAAATGTATTGGCGCCTTGACTGTGTCGTGTAGTCATGTTCTCACACGACACACATCCGATGATTATCATGTTTGCACCATGCAGTCGCATACATTTGTCATCCATTGACGTCACGTAATCCCAAATTTGGCATGTGTGAAGCTTTCGAAACAGCCGGGAGCGCATCATAAGTGTGACATGTTGCCATGTTGTTACACGACACGCATGTCGTGATTATCATGTTTGTATGTTTCATTTACCTATATCATCCGTTCGCGTTGCCTAATACCGAGCTAGGTACATGTCAAGCTAGCGAAACGGCCACAAGCACATCATTAGCGTGGCGTGTAGTCATGTTGTTACATGACACGCATCTTATGATTATCATGTTTGCACCAACCAGATACCTTCGTCATTCATTCGCGTACCGTAATACAAAATTTGGTGTATGTGACGCTGGCGGAACAGCCGCGAGTGCATCATAAGCTTGGCATGTAGTCATGTTGTTACGTGACACGCATGTCATGATTTTCACGTTAGGGTTGGTCGCTTGTGTTCGCCATGCAATCAAGTCATACCATACCAGTTTTGCAACAAGCTATGTGAACGAAACCACCGCAAGAGCTACAAGATCATCAAATGTAAATCATAACATTCCTGACAACTATGTCACAATTTTCACAATATGACTAATATATAGACACAATATGACACAATATATAGCGAAAGGCGAGCATTCTATAGTCGAACAACACCAGACGCGATCAGCGTCGTCGGCGCGTCCCGATGGCAACCGGCACGAAATGCGACATTCTGCATATTGCGCCGACGTGTTACTACAGTGTCTAAAATATAGGTATATTCTAGGCACTATAGACTTAATCAGACAACACTGCGTCTCCCTCTTTTTGTGACGGAGGCACTCAAGACGTGCTGAAACACGCATGCGTCAAAGCAACGCAGCGTCGCGCGCGCCTGCGAGTACATGACAGGACTGGCGCCTGGCGTGGCAACACCGGCATGACGCGACGAAATGAGCTCCGGCGAGTATGCGCGTCGCGTCATGTCAACATGTATTGGCGCCTTGATTGTGGCATGTAGCCATGTTATCACATGACACGCATTTCTAATTATCATGTTTGCACCAGTCACATACATACCTTTGTCATCCACTGGCGTGACGTAATGCCGGATTTGGCATATTTGAAACTAGCGCAACGGCCGCGAACGCATCATCAGTGTGGCATGTAGTCATGTTGTTACATGACACGCATGCCATTATTATCATGTTTGGATGTGTCATTTACTTATGTGGTCCGTTAGCGTCACGTAATACCGGGTTTGGTAGATATGAAGCTAGCGAAACGGCGGCGAGCGCATCATGAGCGTAGCATGTATTCATGTTGTTAGATGACACGCATCTCATGTTGTTCATGTTTGCATCAGTATCATACCTTTGTCATTCATTCACATCCCGTAATACCAAATTTGGTATAAGTAAAGCTAGCGAAACGGCTGCCAGCGCATCATGAGCGTGGCATGTAGTCTTGTTGTTACATGACACGCATCTCATGATTATCCTGTTTAGACCAGTCACATACCTTCGTCATCCATTAATGTAAAGTAATACGAAGTTTGGTATACGTGATGCTAGCGAAACGGCCGCGAGCGCATTATAAGCGCGGCATGTAGTCGTGTTGTTATATGACACGGATGTCCTGATTTTCATGTTAGGGTCTGTCGCTTGTGTTCGCCATGCAATCATGCCATGCCATACAAGTTTTGCAACATGCCATGTGAACAAAACCACCGCAAGAGCTGCAGGACCATTAAATGTATATCATGACATTCATGACATACACGTCATTATTTACGTGTTATGAATAGTCAAATATCTTCTTCATACAGTCATGTTATGCTTGACGAAGTTTGCTATCGGTACCATTATCGAAACGGCCAGGAGAGCTAAAAGTCGTACGCAGCTAGATAGATAGATAGATAGATAGATAGATAGATAGATAGATAGATAGATAGATAGATAGATAGATAGATAGATAGATAGATAGATAGATAGATAGATAGATAGATAGATAGATAGATAGATAGATAGATAGATAGATAGATAGATAGATAGATAGATAGATAGATAGATAGATAGATAGATAGATAGATAGATAGATAGATAGATAGATAGATAGATAGATAGATAGATAGATAGATAGATAGATAGATAGATAGATAGATAGATAGATAGATAGATAGATAGATAGATAGATAGATAGATAGATAGATAGATAGATAGATGCAAAGTCACCGAAGTTCCCTAATAATTTCTACGAGTTAAAAAAATCCGCTTTCCTTCTTCCTGCATAGCAAGTGTCTCTTTCTGGTAGACTTCATACTTTGCGGTAATATGCGAAGAATCATTGGTCATTCACCAGCCCTTATAACATCACTTGCTATGTGATTCTAACAGGCAGAAAAAGTGTTCGACATTCGCCGTCATGACCTGACCACTGGCAGCGTTAACTGAGGCTCCCGTGTTTAAATGCACATATTGTTGTGGCCATAATTGATACCCCATCGGGTCGACAGCAGGATAGCTGCCATGGTTGCATCACATGCGTTATTCGAATGTCGCAAGTTCGGTGCCTGATCATGGCAATCCATTTTTTTCTTTCTCCACATTTACTACCAGTAGATTATTTTCACATAAAAAAAGTCGAAGCAAGGAACGAGAACGAGCGCTATTGCAGTTACATGGCAGAAGGTGTTATCAAAAAGTTTGCTAAGTGGTAGTGCTGGCATTAGCAATAATATCTAGACTTTCGCGTCTCAAAAGCACGATATGATTATGATAGATGCCGTAGCAAAGGGCTACAGAAATAACGACCATCTGGTGTCTTTTAGGATACTCTGACATCGAACGGCACACGGGCCACTAATGTTTCACCTTCATTGAAATACAACCACCAAGGTCGGGAGTGAACCCGTGACTTTCGAGTCCGCAGCCAAGCTGAGTGAACGCTATAGAACCCTCATGGTGAAGAAAGTGGTGGCTTCGAAAGTAGAAAGCGTCGTGCTTATTTGTTAATAATTTCAAGTAATTATAATAGTGATTAATTGACAGTGAAAATATTACGTTTTCGAATAGATATTGGCAACAATTGTGGCGCCGTGTCAGTGAACTGTTGGGCAGAACATTATCTCACGCAGACCTCCAACCCTATCCTCTAAACGTACGATTTCATTTAAGGCAGAAAGCCAACTTTGATTTTGGCATAACATTCAGGAATGGGTAAAACCAACCACTTACCACTAAATAGGGAGCTTTAGAATAGCGCACCGCGAGCCCTTGCGGTGCGGTCGCTGCCACTGCACATGCGTTGTTACTTAAGTCGGCGTTTGCGTTCGCGGGTCGCACGAGCAAAATCCGAAATTGTGTGCGGTGATGGCGGCCCGCATGTGGCCCGCAAGTGCTGGTTTCGGGGCTATAGTGTCGCTGCAATCGTGCGTTGCGGATTGCAGCAGGGCAAACGCTATTCTAAAGCACATATGACGCCCGCTACGCCCGCAACGCCCGCAGTGCTAACGCCCGCAGTGCTTGCGGGCATTGCGGGTGTTGCGGTATTCTATTGCGGTATTCTAAAACTCCCTAATAATGAACAGTCAGCTAGCGTAAACCTGTTTTTTTGTCCAGAGGGCCGGCTACGACAGAAAACCAGTCAATGATGTGAATACGGCAAAAAAGGACAGCGCCAAGTCAGCAGCTAGCCGAGTGGGTGAGTGTACGGCTAACGTCAGCAACAACGCCATAAAACTAGGTATGTGCAGTGGGCAAGCCTGATCAGCAACATGCAGTGCGGCGTCACGCAATAAACAGTTCAGTGAGGAGACGCATGTGCATACATTTAAATACAAGTTATTTGCTGGACCGGAAGTTGTGCGACTCAAAAGGTAGAGACTTCACAACACCTGTGCTGTGTGTTCTAATTCTAATTTAGAACAATGCAAGCAAATATTTCAAAAATGCTAAACCCGTAAGGTCTAGACCCGTTTAGAGGTTTGACAGATTTCCCACATAGTGAGCATCAATTTCAAGCGATGCTCTCAGCAAGCATATTCGCACGTAGCCCCTTTGGCTTACAACCAAGCCTTGCCAGGTGAACGGCATACTGTTTAAACTCCACGCTAGTATGGATATCGTAGGCTTACCAGGCACGTCGACTGCAGTGACATGCAGCTTGTGTGCCTCTACGTAATTTCGGCACTCCAGGGTATCACAGCCTGCGGCCTTATCTGCGCAGCGCTGATAGACGAAACGGACAAGCCGATGGCACGTTAAACATGCGCATTTAAATATGACAGGCGTTGCATTCGGAGCAATGGGACCGAGAGCTTTACGGCTCGCAGTCAGGTAAGACGACGACGCAGATTCATTCGTTCGCTATTCCGGCCTGTTCCTGCGACTTAGTTATTTATTTTATAGCCCTGGGAAAAATTAAACCCTGATGACATTTTGCACAAGACATTAGCTCGAAGCCTTCGAAACCGCCGCTGACTGGTAGATGTGAATGACATTTAACCGATGAACATTACAACACCAACGAGATACGTTTGACATGTTGCCACTAAAAAAAGTGTCAGATACGTCTAATATAGCCAACATTCTTCTCTCCTTATGCAAATACCACCCCATAATGCTTGCAGAAGTCAAGAAACGTGATCCCTTTCTATGAAAAGTGCACGCAATATGAGCCTACTGTGCAAGCTATTTTTGTGTCAATTGAGGACATACAGATATGTGTGTTTGTTAGGATAAATTGTTACTTTAATTTTCATTCTCTTGCTTGCAATACCTTAATCAGTACATATGAATAGCAAACTACAAATTAGGAGACAATAAGTACGTATGAATTACAATAGCAACTTTATAACTGCATATGCATATACATAGTCATTTTCATTTCTTATTTCCTAACTGAGCTGTACTCCTCTTTAGTATATCGTGCCAAGGCATAGTTGTATATGCACTTTTCTCTTCGTGAAAGTGACCTTTCAATGGTGGATTTATTGAATGAAAAATGATCGACTGAACGCGCTGTTGGTAATTGCCTTAGTCATTTCATTTTCAACAAAACATTTGTATGAATCGTTTTGTGCGTCGTTCGAACAAGTACAAAAGTGACTGGTGGGACAAAATACCAAACAATAGACATGAAAAAAGAAGGGGACAGGAGATAGCTTTATTCTTTCACTTTCTTTTTTTTTTTGTCTTTCTTTATGTACCAACAGCCCAAACCATAGGCATTAAGTACAAAAGCATTTGCGGGATATGCAGGACTGGACGATCTGGCTGACGAAGTGGAAGACGCAACAGGAGACAGTGCATTAGAAGACACTACCGAGGACGACGTCAGTTCCACCTTGCGTGAAGTGTACTCAACCGACGGCGACGCCTCCAAAATGCCACAGCGGGGTTCTAGCAACGAGAGAACAAAGAAAGCCAAGTCACTTGGCAACAATGAGCTAGACAACCAGTCCGAAAGCTCTGCGAGCAACACTCAAAACATAAACGAAGTGCTGATGATGAGACCTCGACCCTTGCCACCTAGTGACTTCAAATTGAAAGGCATCATGAAATTATGAAGAAATGACACAACGCCCATGGACATTCAATATTTGCCTTGTCCTTTACTCGAAACGCCAAGTCACGTCTATTCAAAGCAAAAAACAGCCACGCTTCCTGTCTGGGTATTTCGTACTATTTCGTCTGTGACACTTAGAGCCGTATCGTATTGGTTACCAAAGCTCATTGCATATCATTACTTGCCCATATGGCGTACATCTGAGGTTTCAGAGATAAAGAAGCGAAACTGCGTGTTCAAAAGACATGAGCTTGAATAAAAAGAAAATCTTTGCTACGGATAAACATTAAAAAAGTGCATTCAATGATCAAAGAAAAAAAAGAAGCTAGAACTACATTAAACCGATAAATTTTACACATGCAGCTGACAATCTCATAATTTCACGTGTCGGTAATTCAACAATATATTCATTTCGCTGCGTATACTCAACTCCTTGTGATGTTTACTGCGACTACGTATACATAAAGCCATTTTCCACTGCCATGCGATTGGGCAATTTGTAGAACGTACGTGCTTTTAAAACAATGCTAAAATGCATGACCGCGAATAGGCCCAAGCCTTATTTACAGTTCACTTTAACTGCATATAAACGTTTGGGTTACAAAATCACAAAGTATATGAAGGTAACCTCATTCGCGTTCGATTAACTTAGTGTTACCATTCAAACACTTGCATATTAAAAATCACGCCTATTCAGAGCTGATTGCACAATCCATGTTCAGCTGCTCAGGCGACAGTACTTGCTTCGACAGAAGTAGGTCCAGGGTGCTCCTTGTCTTCCTTACATTCGTACCCGGAACTCTGAAATAGAGACAAAAGAAGTAGTTAACGACAGTGCCACAAGACAGAGCGTAACGTACAATATTCTCTCATCACGCTGGGTTTATCTTAGTTCTCTGTGGGTATAAATGCAGTACATGGCCAGCATATCCAGTGGCACCCGACTTCAGTAAGAAATGCGAAAAATTCATGTGACAAAGTTTTTTATATCTTTTTTTTTTTTTTTTTTTATTTGAAACAAAACCCGCAGCGCCACTTAGGCATTATTGCGGGGGGCACAGAGCCTCATAAAATGAATCCGCAGTCTTGCGGCCAACTACATCGGCTGGTAACGTGTTCCATTCAACAATGGATTGCGGAAAAAAAGAATGCTTAAAAAGATCCGTTCTGGGGTTGTATGGCCGTACTTTAAATTTGTGATCATGACGGGAGGATTGATAATACGCTTTTTTTAAATAATCTGAAGCATTAATGCCCGTTTTATTGTTATATATCGAATAAAATAGTTTTAATCTTAGATTACGTCTTCGATCTTGTAAGTATTGCCAATTAAGTTCTCTTTTCATACAACGGGAGCTTTCAGTTCGGCCATATTTTCCCAGAACAAATCTTGCTGCCATCGACTGAATGCGCTCTAATTCATGAATATGTATTTTGTTAAACGGATCCCACACAGGACAGGCGTATTCTAGTATTGGTCTCACATAGGCATAATATGCGGCCTGTTTAACCTCCTTGGTTACATGTTTAAGATTTCTTTGTAAAAAGCCTAGGGCTTTTCCCGCTCTACTTACAACATTGCCAATGTGCTCAGACCATCCCCCATCCTCAGAAAGCGTGACACCCAAATACTTATATTTGTGTTCATACCTAATAACTTCATTGTTTAATATGTACTGATTTGTAAATCTATTAACCTTTTTGGTGAAACTGACGTGAACACATTTATTCGTGTTTAATACCATGTCATTATTTTTACACCATGCCTCCACGTGATTAAGGTCATCCTGAAGCTGGGTGGAATCCGTTTGGTCGGTCAATTCAGTATACAACACACAGTCGTCAGCAAACATTCTGATACGACACCTAATTGTATCCGAAATATCATTAATAAACACAAGGAAGAGAAGCGGACCGAGTACGGAACCCTGAGGTACCCCTGATGTCACCGAAGCTAAACACGAACAAGATCCACCAAGCACAACCTTTTGTTTTCTTGAAGTTAAATAGTCCGCAATCCAACGGCAAATGGTTTGATGAATGTTCAAGTTCTGCAGTTTTTGAATCAGAATAGAGTGTGATACCGTATCGAAAGCCTTTCTGAAGTCTAAAAATAAACAATCAATCTGTCCTCGATTGTCTAAAACTGATGCTATATCATGATAGAATTCAATTAATTGGGTTGTGCATGAAAAACCCTGTCTAAATCCGTGTTGTTTAGGATTAAAAAATTTAATTGAAGTCAGGTGATTCATTAAAGCAGAAAAAAGAACATGTTCAAGTACTTTACAACAAATCGGCGTCAAAGAAATTGGTCTGTAATTTGATACGTCTGATTTAGAACCACTTTTGAAAACTGGCACAACATTAGCTATTTTCCAATCATCAGGAAGCTTGCCTTCATCGAGTGATTTTTTATAGATAACATAAAGGTAACGAGCCACTGCCTCAGAGCAAAGTTTTAAAACTCTTGGTGATATGCCATCAGGGCCAGTTGCTTTACCTTCGTCAATGCGCTGTAACAACTTCATTATGCCATTGAATGAAAGCTCTATCTCACCCATAGGCAAATATTGTTCTTTTTTATTCGTGACAATCACTTGTGTAGGTGGGCGGAAGACCGATTTAAAGAAGTCGTTAAAAAGTGTGGCTTTATCTCGATCCTCAATTACAATCTCGCCACCGTAACGTAGGTTTGGTGGGCTAACCTTCTCAGTACCACATCGTCTCATATATTTCCAAAACCTTTTCTTATTAGAAAAGTCAGCGGCCAGACTCTTAAAATACTTTTTCTTGGTTTCTTTCAGTTCCATTTTATAAAGTGATGTCAAATCTTTCATTTTATTAAAATTTTCAGGGGATTTTTTTTGGCAGTATCGGGAAAAAGCCCTCTTGCGCTTTTTGATAAGCCGAATAAGATGCCCCTTAATCCAAGGTTTCTTAATTTTACCCAGCTTATCGCTTGAGACGCTCGGGACGTGACGCCGAATGAGCCCAGTAATGCGTTCCTTAAACACTTGCCATAGCTGCTCAACAGTTGCTTCGTCTGCACTGCATTCAAAAGACAGAAATTGTTGCTCAAGACCAGCTGATATTTGCTGATAGTTTGCTTTACTATAAAAGAAGATTCTCCTAGATTCGCATTTCTTTGTATTTACCCGAGATCTTGTTAGCTTTGCAAAGACGGCGTTGTGATCACTAATACCGGGAATAACGTGTGTTTCATTAATGACATCAGGGGTATTACAAAACAACAAATCCAGAATGTTGTCACCTCGCGTAGGACTGGAAACATACTGCATGAGGCCGAGCACGTCAGTCAACGTTTTCAATTCACAGTATGTCGCTGCCTGAGACTTTAAGACACAATTACCGTTATTCCACTCAGCATCCGGTAAATTAAAGTCACCAGCAAGAACGACACATTCTTTAGAAAATGTGCAGGCAATTTTTCTCAGCTGACGCATAACATTCGGTTCAAAGACAGGAGGCCGATAGAAAGCACCAACAATGAAACTAGAACGATTACTTTGCACTACTCGGCACCAAACAGATTCAGTTTCATTGTTATCAATAAAAATTTCTTCGGACATCAAAGAATCCTTCACAAGAATGAAAACACCACCACCATGCGTTGACCGGTCTTTTCGATATGTTTGAAAATTGCAAGGAAACATTTCAGAGTTCGAAACTGCTTCGTCAAGCCAAGATTCTGACCCAATGACTAAGTCAGCGTTCACTGACCCAATAAGGCCACCCAGCTCATCAGCTTTATTCTTAACACTTCGGCAATTCATCATCAGAAGGACAATATCTCGGGCACCTTGGGGCTTTTGTCTCACTTCTTTGTTATCGCGTCACGAACGTCTTACTTTTGTGACATCTTGCGCAACGCTATCCCAAGTGTAAGTCCTACCGTCAATGATAAGCTTATCAAAAGAAAGTTTCACTGTGTGACCATCTGCTTTTTTTGATTTTGCATATTCCCATAAGTGCTTTCTTTTTTCGCGCACCTGCTTGGAATAGTCGTCACTGATTGATAAGCCAGAATCTTTCAATTTGTGTGCATTTTTGTAGAGATCAGCTTTTTCTCGAAAGTTGTAAAGCCGTAGAATGACTGGTCTGTTCTTCCCCCGTTTCTTTGCTCCAATGCGGTGAATTCTTTCAACACTCATTAAGGTGACACCCATTTTAGCAGTAAAAATATCGTCAAGAACAGTTTTACGAAGTGATTCAGTTGTTTCACCAGTACTTTCTTTCAACCCATATACAACCAAATTATTACGTCTGCTTCTGTTCTCAAGATCATCGAGTTTCACTTGCATCTCAACAATGCCTGCCGATATTCGATCCACTGTTTTCTCACAACGTTCAAATTGTACACTTTTACCGGCAAGGCATTTTAATTCACTTTCAATTGAGTCTAACCTCTGATCCGTAAGAGCAATGTAGTCGTCGAGCTTCTTTCTAATTGTTCCCATCACCTCAAGTATTTCTTTTTGACCTTTAAGTAGCTCCTGCATTGCAGAATCATTAGGGCCCGGGTTCATTTCAATGTCCCCACTCAGAAGCAATACCAACATACACGCAGCATCAAAGCACTCGGCCACTCCATCACAAAAGGCTCTTGGGCAAGGCAACACCACCAGGCACCGGAAACTCGTGGTGCATTTGGAATAGGAATGTTTTTTACTAACCTGCAGAACGTACAAGAGCAGATTATTCCGTGGCCGCATGCTGGCGGTGAAACCCTGCCCAATGCCGCTGTAAACGTGGGGGGCGTATCTCGAGGCCTCGCCTGTCGCTGTCGATTTGGCTGTGTAGTTCAAAGCACCGGAAACCAAAACTTGAGCTGGCCACCGAATCCAGGAAAATTCATCTGTGCAGCAGAATTCAGGACTGCGCTGATTGGCGTCGGGTGACAAAATCACTGGCAGCAGGCTTTCCGGTGACCATCCATCCGATGATAACCCCAGGCACAAGGCGAGAATCTGCAGAACGTACAAGAGCAGATTATTCCGTGGCCGCATGCTGGCGGTGAAACCCTGCCCAATGCCGCTGTAAACGTGGGGGGCGTATCTCGAGGCCTCGCCTGTCGCTGTCGATTTGGCTGTGTAGTTCAAAGCACCGGAAACCAAAACTTGAGCTGGCCACCGAATCCAGGAAAATTCATCTGTGCAGCAGAATTCAGGACTGCGCTGATTGGCGTCGGGTGACAAAATCACTGGCAGCAGGCTTTCCGGTGACCATCCATCCGATGATAACCCCAGGCACAAGGCGAGAATCTGCAGAACGTACAAGAGCAGATTATTCCGTGGCCGCA